AAATTTGGGAAGTAAGGTATCTGCAGACACAAATATAAATGAGTTGAATAAAAGTGCCACATAACCTACTGTATAGGAGAATCCTATAAAAAAATATACTACACAGGTCCTGAGATGGCTTTTCATTCTTAAACAGAGAAAGAAAGAGAAGAATTAAAGAACTGAGCTATACTGTACATACTACTGGTAAGCCCTCTTCCACAACTGGGTTGATTATTTTAAGCTCAGTGAGATTGATTTTGAGGCCCTTTGGGGACCTTCTGGGTCTGTGTGAGTGAATGTGAAGGTGCACACAAACCAAAAAAAAAGAAAAGAAAAGGAGGTGAGATAAAAGTTAGGACAGGGAAGAACACAAACGACAAGGAGGAGGAGGAGGAGGGGGGTCTCCAGATTCTTGAGGTTATTAATATGTGTTTCTTCAAGGACACCAATGATGATTTGGGTCAAACTATTTCTTCTTCCTCCTGAGGTGTACCAAGGGCACAGACAAAATATGGCCCCGAATAGATATGCCTGGTGCTGTCTCTGCCAAACTGAAGCCGTTTTCTTTGTTTATAGGGAGTAATAAACAAACGTCACAAACATAGTTTTTATTTTACATTTCATGAAAAGTCACCTTTCTTTGCCATATTGATAGGTAAAAAATAATGTTAGCTACTGGTGCTAGTGGCCTACACAAAACTATTTTGTCCATGGTGATGCCTCATTTTCCAAGTTTAGCCTTCCTTTTACTTGACATTTTACTGGTCCGCATGTTCCATAAATCCTTATTTTTCTGTCAAACAAGATATCCCCTCTCTCTCTCTGCTGTTTTCAGTCACTGACTGAGGAAGCAGGTTGTTTTCTGACATGCATGTGCTCACAAAACTAAACGGTTTCATTTGCTTTCAGCCTGAATTTCCTCCATAGCCTAAAAGAACAATAAACACCTGGAAAATATTGCCAGCTGACACTTTTGGACATGTGCCATTTTACACCTGTTCAACTGAGCTTTTAGTGTCGTTTTAATGGTCTGGGATTGTTATAAAACATTTCTACTCTGTTCAGCTGTTGATGTTTGTTTACGATAAAAGAAAACTCATCTAATCGAGAGCCCTTAAAAGAGGATGAGAGATTGTGTTTGTCTGCCATCTACTGGTCAGATAAGGTGGGTGGTAGACCGACTGATCTGTAAGCCACAGATAACCAGAGCAGGTTTAGAGCGGCGATAATGTAAAAATATTCAGTGATTATAAAAGAAAAAGTTGTTTTCTTTCTTATTAAAACGTCGGACAAGTAACATTATCTTTTGCGTGACGACAAGTGAAACACACAAACTCAACTGTCTATGGTTGAAGCTTTAATAAGCTATAATAAAATCCTTTATACGTCATTACGCTGTTTTGGGGTTTATGTTTGTTGATTGCACAAATAGGCCGTAATGTTAAGAAGATTTCGTTTGGAGGTGGTTAGAACTTACTTTGTTTACTAAAGTGATCCTCGCTGAAAGAATTGACCAATGAACAGTGTGTTTCCCAGCATGCCACGGGGCTTTTTGCCGTTCTTCGCCCAAAGAAAATAGCCTACCTAAAACACCAAGTGACCAAGTAACTCATAAAATTACCTCCATCTATTAGTCTTTTGTTTCGGTAACTTTTACTGTGAAATCGCTAAATGTATGTATTAATTGAACCGTGATAAAGGTGTCCCTTAAATTCTTAGCTGTATTTATACGTCCAGACTGCCTAGTTTATTTCCGTGGGCGGAAGCTCATTGTAGAGGTCACATGCTGAGTGCTCGTCACTCCACCAATCACCTCGGGGAAGGTCTGAGACAAGAGCCAATAGTTACCCTTGCTGGGTATCACCTGATTCGGGTGAGCGAGTGAACAGTAAAATGGATTGCTATGAGCAGTTGTTGCAGGAGATACCGTGTGGTGCGAGTCATTCCGGTGGATGCGACGCTCAATGGCATTGGAATCACCCGCGGCTGGCCAATGAGTGCGATGTATGAGGTGGAGCACAGCTCCAGAACCCAATTCAGACTACTCTCCCCCCACTTTTGATTGTAACTTTTGAAAACAAATAAAAACAAAACAGTTATTTCAACAATAAATGACAATTGTACAGCTAATCTAATCTAATAATATCATCTTTTTTATTTAAAATTATCTTATTATAAGCCCTCTAAATCCTACCTGAAATATTTTTCAGTGATAGTGATAGCCTACTTGAACTCAATCAAACCCATAACAAACAATGGCTCTGACAGTTTTCATAGGCTACATTTGTTTTGTGTCATTTTGTTTGTATTATCTTATATTTTCTGTTGGGTTTAAAAGCCATATTCAGGTTTCTTCCATGCCATTTTTTTTATACATTTCTCAAATCTTTTGTATTTTGTGTGTGTATAAATTAACCAAACAGTGTTGTCACTAGTATGAAAATCAGTGCTCTGCCACACATTGTCACTGTCCTGGGCAATTAAGAAGAATAACCACAAAATACAGAAATTGCATGATTAATCACTTTCCTACTTATTTACTCTTATCAATGATGTTTAGTTTAAATCTCTACAGAAGATCACAGAAGCCTATATATCACTGCTTGGTATATAATTGTTGACTACATTGCCACTTTCATATAAATACCTAAAAGTTTTAAAGCAACACATCCTTATTTACATTAGGCCTGTTTGCAAGCCCTATTTTATATAGGCCTACTACAAAGTGATAATTTCATATTAACTTGTCAATAATTGCGATTTACATCTAATGATGAGTCTAAAGGACTTTTAAATTCTGACACTTAAAAAATGTTGAGTTCAGTTTGGAATAAAAGAAGCTCCATAGAGTAAAAATTCGACTTCAAATTTCAAATTCAGCTCAGGTTTTTTGTATGATAGTATTTAATCATAATAAAACAACAAAGAACATTTCTTGGGCAAAACTACTGAAAAGGGACTTGTTTATGTTGTGCTCTGACTGTGACCTGTCGAGCCTGTGGTGTTGCCAGGTCATGGCCCCTATAAAACAAAAGAGCTTCATATTTCTGTCTGACCCAGTTCCAAGTCCTTATCGGCACGTGTAGAGTTACAGACAGCTTGATGAGAGCCACAGAATTAAAGGGTTGACCAGAAGGACATCATGTGGCCTGTCCTGATAGTTTGCTTGTTTATTTAATTATTCCTGAACTTTCCAGCAACATTTGAAAATACTCACTTTTTCAACATGTTTTCAGGTTTCTCCTATCATTCAAACAAACTCATTTGAAAACTGCTTCATACTCCTAGCCATATCGTGTTTGTCGTTTGACTGCTGCCCTTTGAGGACAAAGACAGTTTTTATCTTTGTTTCTGGATACATGTATCCAATCAAAACATTTTCAGATATTATCCAAAAAGCAGCACGGTTTCAGCACACCTGCATTTCACATGTTCTTTGGCATGCCACTGACAAAAAAAAACTTGAACTGATGCACTTCTTGGGAAGAGGTATAATTCCATATTTCAAAAAGCTGTATTGCCTCACACAAATAATAATCCATCTGTCTCAAAGAAGCCAGATCTGTTTCAGGGCAGTTAATCTGTGAACTGTCCACGTCCCACTTTGTTGCAATTATCTGATGGATTTGTTATCTTACAGTGACCCGACATGATGAATTTAAAGCAAAAACAGAAACAGGGGCCAGGTCAGAAAAGACGAAGAATCCGGTTATAAGGTGTGTGTGTGTGTGTGTGTGTGTGTGTGTGTGTCTGTGTGTGTGTGTGTGTGTGTGTGTGTGTGTGTGTGTGTGTGTGTGTTTGTGTTTGTGTTTGTATATTGGCAGACTGACCAAAGTGGCAGAGAAATTAATGATTTTCAGCATACTTTGGTTTTCTCAAAGGTACAAGAACTGTTTTGAATTTATGTTGAATTTATAAATTGCAGATTACTCTAAAAAGATGAAAGAACTTCACTTCTAGAAAAAAAGCTGCATTTTTTCTTTCATAAATACATTAGTTAAATTAGTTATTGTTACTTACTATGTTCATAAAGCCTCTGCAAATGTTGTCTAGTTTTAGTCTCTAAGTCAAAGACCTGTGCTTGATTCTCAAATAGAAGCAGATTCAGGAAATGTGTTTTAAAGTTCGATGATGGACTTAACCCTCGCTTTGCACACAGGGTTATCAAGTTACTATTTAAATGAGGAAAAAGTAATGTTTAGTGTAAGAAACCTTGCATCACAGAGAACTATGAGCCATAGTCATAATTGGCATGATCATATAATACTAGTTGAAAATGTAGTGAGTACACTTGATTTGTCATCAATAACAGTATTAAAATAATAATAATCTCTCTTTATATCTGTCAAACTCACAGTTCACAAGTGATCAGGACCTCATCAAAGAATGTGCCGGTGTCTTAAAATTGGTTCGGTTCAAGAAGTTAATTTAGAGAAAAGTATCTAAAGGCACATGTACACTCACATTGAGAACACGTGGAAATAATGGGAGCATTAATGGCTTAGAGGAGGGATGAGGGTAAAACCTCGTCCTTTTATGCACGGGGATACAAAAAAAAAACACACACACTAAACAGACCTACATTCTACCTCCGCCCTTGTGTTTCTGTGTTTTGAGACCCCTCTAAACTCTAAACATTGCAGCCGGCTGACATGTGATTTCGGGCATGATGTTGCAGACTGAAGTCGAGGTGGATTAACTGTTTCCATAAAAGCGCATGGACACTGACGGCTTCAGAAGGAGAGGAGAAGAACAGGGAGAGCCAGGATTTCACAAGAGGAAGAACTTGCCAAGAGATTGTCCCATTTGCAAAAGAGAACACCATTTGTTGGATACCTTAAATCATTTCCCCCAGGATCCCATTATTTACACATTAATGCATTTTGTATCATAAAAAAATAAACGTTTATATTGTCAAGGTGTGTTTTCTCTCTTAGAATTTTTCACTTTCAGTTCTTTTGAGTGTTTTTATAGTGGTTTTTGTCTTACTGTTGCTGCATATTTGTGTGTCTTTCAGCATGCCTCCGGTAGTGTTGAAATGCATGCTGCTGTGTATGTTGATGGGTGGGACTGTGGTGCCTGTATGCTGAAGAATCACACCTTATGGATTGAAAGGCAAGACAGTGACCAGTGTGTCGTCGTCAACACCACGATCTGCAGTGGCTACTGCTACACTCAGGTGACAACGACAATGACAACACACACTTTATATCCCAACAAGTTATTTTAAAATCTTGGCACCACCTCACCTAACAGCCATGTGTCTCCCCTCTCACAGGACACTAATCTGAGGGGACGGTTCGGGAGGACTTTTCTGATCCAGCGCAGCTGTGTGCCCCTTTCCCTGGTGTATCGACCCGCTCACCTGCCCGGCTGCCCTCAGGAGGTGAACCCGCAGGTGTATTATCCTGTAGCCCATCGGTGCAGCTGCAGGCGCTGCAACACGCGTTCACACCACTGTGTGCGCACACGCCGGGTCTCGTATGACAGGTGCACCTCGATCTTTGGCAGCATGCAGAGCAAGAACGAGCGCACTTTGGAAACCTGACAACATGCTAATAAAAGCAGTGCACATGCAAAGCAAATAATACTACTGTTGGCCTTGATGGACCTGCAGGGATTTGCTTCTTGATATTTGATTGTAATCTTTGTAGCTCTTTTGCTGGTCATGCTTTTTTATTAGCTTGTTAGGAAAGATATTGCAATAAAATATTTGTGAGAATGCAGTCAAGCGTTATTTGTATTACCAGTGTAAATGAACAAAATTACAATGAAGAAAAATAGATAATTTTTCAAATAAATTGCCTTAAGTCTTATTCTTGGATTATCCTGCTCGTTTTCTTTTCATGATTTGCAATTATTCTGCATAGTTTCGCTTACATCTGCTCTCTCCATTCATTACATGATTCCTGCGGTAGAGCAAAGGATGAGTCTGCAGTTATAAACAGAAACATTAAACATTTGACCTAATTTCAAAGGAGACTTGTCAACCGCCTGTTTTTAGAAACACACACCCTTATCTTGTTTAGTTAAATAGGACATTGAAATCTTAGCCATGATAAAAATGCAAAATGATTTGTACTCTGTTTTATTCAGCGGCACCTACACCAGATGAAGCTGAAAGTTGGCAATAACCTCCACTTGGACTTAAGGATGAACTGATTGGTCCTTCATATTTAAATGTTGTATATTTTACCTTGTGTCTGCCCAAACTCATGAACATGCGATCTTAAAAGTAGAGGAAGTACCTTCGAAACTGGCCCCCCCCCCATACATCTACTGTAACTCAGGGACCTACACCTACAGTATTTCATTCAAAAAACGTAATTTCCTGTTTGACATTCTGTAATGCTGACATTCTGAAATCTAATATTTTTAAAGGCACTCATCAGTGTTTCCGCACTTAGTTTCTTGTCTGATGCTGATTGTTTACCCATCTGGTGGGTATGATTTTCAGAGAATTATGCATTAGAGTTGTCTTTCATCAATATAGACACCTCTTCTGAAAAGACTTAACATTTTAAAAGTCTTAGGCTTTGTTTAAAACACTAATCACTAATGGTGCATTTAATGTCAACTTCAGTGTCATTTACCTGCATTCATGTGAAGCTTTTCAGAACCTGTAATGTGATCTTTTTTGATCCTATACTTATCTTTATCTAACTAGCAGCACCCTAAAATAGTTTGGAAGATCCATCCATTTAGATATATTTGAAAGACAATTTGTGATTCCAACTTCGGTGTCTTTCTGAAAATCTTTATTGTTACAAGTCTACATAAGTGAAAATAACAATGTATTACCTCCTGTAAAGTCTGGTCTTCAATTTTATGATTCCTAAAGGTCAAACTGTTACATAGAAAAAAAATAGTAACTGAATGATGAATAATGGCTTAAAAACAATATTACCAACTTTTGTTATCACTAAGCTTTGAAAAGACAACCTGTTGGATCAGTGCCCTCTCACAGTTGAGAGGTTTGTCCCATGGAAGCTGTTACATTTGTGGTTTATTTTTGAGTGGCCTGAAAAGAAACTCTGGCTCCAGCACTTGGCTGGCAGAGCAGTGGGTGGAGAGTAACTGTATAGTGGTTGTATTTTATCCCTGGATCTGCTGGGCTGGACCCGCCTCTATATATATAACCCTGAGCGTCTCTTTACTCTTGCCTTGCTCAGTGTCTCTCAGGGACCCTCAGCCTGCTCTCCCTCTGCGGCCTCCTCCTCTGTGCAGACCACATTTTGCACTCACAACAAGCAAGAACCATGGCCCAGCAGCAGCAGTATAGGTACGGACCAGCTCTGTCCATGAGGACAGTTACACTTAACCCCTAAATGATGCATGATGTAGACTGCTCAGAAAGAAAAACAGGCATGCTTTAATACCATTCATTATTAATTGCCATCTTTTTTCTTATCAAGAGCTTACATTATAATTTATTGAAGCATTAGTATGTATAATTCCTCCTGGATGTATATGTAACTTTGATTTAATCTTGGGACCAGTTATTTTTGGATGACCAGATTCCTAGAGGCAGTCAGCCAATACAAAGAACTGTTCATACTCTATGCAGATATACTTAAAATGAGCAAAATTAATGACTTTCCTAAGCCTATTTTGTCTGTGATCATCAATCTTGTATTTCACTGACCAGTCCTCATTTTCAACAGGTTTTGCCACCTCACCCGATTTTCCTTACTCCCCTTTAGAAATGTGGTGACAAAAAAAGGAGTGATTGTTAGTCACCTGTCTTTCTTGACTTGTCCTGTAACAGCCTCCCAGCTAAGCTGATCAATGGAGGGATTGCAGGACTAGTGGGAGTCACCTGTGTGTTCCCCATCGACTTGGCCAAGACTCGGCTGCAGAACCAACGCAGCGGGCAGCAACTTTACAAGAACATGTAAGAACCCCATCCTCCATTGAAAATGCCACTTTTTTTCCTTACTTCCTTTCAGATTTACTGAAATGTGGTCTGCTGCGTGAAACTTCAGGACAACGTAGATTTATTACAGTGTTATGTTAAGGTTGTTAACACTGGGTTTGACTGTCCACAGTCTCAGTTTCTGGTCATTCTTCTCTGTAGTAGGCCTAACATTTATTTGTGATAACAGAACAAGACTAGACAACCATCTTCTTCTATACATTTTCGAAGGTTTTAAAATTGCTCAATTTACCTTTGTTTCCTGTCAGGATGGATTGCCTTATAAAGACGGTTAAATCTGAAGGCTACTTTGGCATGTATAGAGGTGAGACACACTGTCAGTACTGACCTTTTTTAATGAGCACCAGTTGCCTACACTCCTATATCTTATTGACCATATGGAAGAATTTTAACCGTTTAACACTTGACTGCACGAAGCCTTAACCATTCCTACAAATTCAAGCATACTCCAGACACTTTTGCCAAGTTTCTTTATCCTCCATGCTATGTCATGTCTGCTTTCTAAAATTCAGTTTAAGTAGTTACATTTGAATCAAGTTGTCAGTATCAATCCTTTTTTTCTGCAGGTGCTGCAGTAAACCTCACCTTGGTAACCCCTGAGAAGGCCATCAAACTGGCAGCTAATGACTTCTTCCGCCACCAATTAAGCAAAGACGGGTAGGTTAAATAAGCATTGCAAAAGACAAGCTCTACTTAAAAGTATTATTTTTAACCTGTTCTATTTGTTTTATGTATCATCAGCGGCAGGTTGACTGTCTTTAAGGAAATGTTGGCAGGATGCTGTGCAGGCATGTGTCAGGTCATCATCACTACCCCAATGGAGATGCTGAAGATTCAGCTGCAGGACGCTGGCAGACTAGGTAATCTTGTATTAATATGTAAGATATGGGAGAAAATGTGCGTAGGTTCAAATAGCCAGCTAGCAATTGAGCGCTGTTGACTTACTTCCCTTTTTGTTTGTTCTGCCACTCTACTTGCGGTTCTTTTGGAGTTTTAATTTCCAGTTTTAATTTTATCACTTTCATTACACATATATAATCAAATGGCACTATGCTCGCTATTTCAGGGTGGCTTAAGAGAAGATGACCAATAAAATAATAACACAAATATTAAATGGCCTGAGACCAAATTATAACGACTATAAGGTCTCAATTTTAGACATTAGCTCAGACACTGAGTATGATATCTACATATATGATTTTGTATTGACACTCGGTTTCTCTGAAAGTGTTAAACTGGTTAAAAACTTATGTCAACAGTTGAAAGTCTTAGGATCGTGTTCCATGAGATCTCTTAAGGTAGTACAAGGCTGCTGCTATGGTTCATTTCCACCCCCTCAGGTTTCACACTTATGCAGATGATACAAAAATAGTCCATCACTGCTGAACAGCGTGATTGTAAAGCCATAGATTCCATTACAATCTTTCTTCTGGCACGTGTTTTTTGTCATTATCTAATAGTGTTTTTTGCAAAATTGAGAAAGAAATATGTTTCCTGTATCTGATAGCGGCCCAGCAGAGGGTGATACCCAGTGTGGCGACAACTCTGAAAATGGGAGGGACCAGCGCTGTACTAAGTCGTTCCTACAACACCAGCCCCGGGGCTCAAGTCATGCGTGTATCGGCCACACAGATCACCAGAGAGCTGCTGAAGACAAAAGGAGTCACAGGACTGTACAGGGGACTCGGAGCCACATTGATGAGGTGAAATGATATTCAATGCTTGCTCTTATGCAACTACTTGTCTATTTATAGTAAATGGTATCTCCATTTGGTTGACATGCTTGTTTGTTGCCTTTTTCAGGGACATCCCATTTTCTGTTGTGTACTTTCCACTTTTTGCGCATCTACACCAGCTAGGCCAGCGTTCGTCTGAAGACTCATCTGTGCCCTTCTATTGGTCCTTCATGTCCGGCTGCTTTGCTGGATGCACTGCTGCTGTGGCCGTCAGTCCTTGTGATGGTAAACATTTCTGTCGAAAGATAGCTGGCTGATGTTTGGGGGAATTTGAACTGAACTTTAATTAAGTCATCTGAAATATCATGTTTTTTTCCCAGATTTGGTAAATTCTTGACCAAAATATGTTTTTCTTAACATGTGCAGTGGTCAAGACAAGGCTACAATCACTCAGAAAAGGTGCTAACGAAGAAACCTACAATGGAGTGGTGGACTGTGTCAGGTGAATTTGCAATACAGTCATACCTTTTACCAGGGTTTGCATGAATGGTACTTTTTTATGTACTAATGCTACACATTCTCTTCCATTGCAGAAAAATCCTAAGAAAGGAGGGTCCTGGAGCATTTCTCAAGGGTGCAAGTTGCCGCGCCCTGGTTATTGCCCCGCTCTTTGGAATTGCCCAGGTTATGTACTTTGTTGGAGTTGGAGAGTTCCTGCTGGGTTATACTCCCTATAACATCTACTCTGCATAAAACACTGTTCCTAGTCTTTAAGTGGCCTCATTAAATGAAAGGCAGCTCTTTGTAACTGTGTACCTTCTTCATTGATGGAGGGTTTCAGACTTAGAGGCTGATGAGACTGCATAGTTACCATTTAAAAGAAAATGCTTTTATTCATTCAGCATGACTAACACAACATTGTTGTTATTTTAGAGACTGAAATGGAAACTTTCCTGTATATTTGAGTTTATCTGAGAAATATTTTGCTTTCTTTACTAAGGGACTGAAGATTTCTGTATAGCCCCTATCCCTAAATGTGCACATATCAATTACTCTTCAACACAACCCTAACTGCCCTATCCCTTCCAATGGCTCCATTTGTTTATCATTGGCTGTTGGCTGTTGGTGTTGCGAAAAGATATTTTTGTACAAAGAGGGATCTAACGAGAAAAGACAGAAACATTACTTGAAAAGCTTAAATCCTGTTACAAAGGGTTACATGGGAAACTCTGATGGGGACGTTGTTGTCTATGTACATAGTGTATTTATTTGTAAGTATTTGATGAACAGCGTTTATCACAAGATGGTTTTTATATTGGACAAGTTATGAAAAACGGTTCAGGTGGTCATAGCTTTTGAATGGTAGAAACAAACTGACCTTCTGTCCTAAGGTGTACCACAGGGGTCCTGTTTTGTATAACTTTCTTTTGCAATTAGGGCATTTATGTGCTTCTGAAATGGATGCCTCCGTATCTGCACTGCTTTATAGTTGTTCACAAGTATATTGCTGACCATTCTGGCTTTCTGGAGTGTTGAGGTTTAGGTGTTTAAAGCTTATTAAGCTGAACAGCTCAGAAATGGGGCACACAACTGCTAAGCTATCCCACTGACATTTTTTTAGGAGAGGAAATGTTGCTTGTTGGTTAAAAACTGAACTGATGAAAGTGGAAGAGACTGTATTAACAGGTTTCTTGTGCTTTTGGGACCAAGTCTTCTCAAAATGTGCAACATGACTTATAAGCAGTCCATTTCTCCAAGTTGACTGTGGTTTGTAACGACAAATGAGAATTTCTTGACAGTTTAGGTGCACAGAAATGCATATGACAGCATTATTTTAGACATTTAGAAGCATAGCAGAGTGGGATTTTGGGCTGCACTCTCCTCTGGTTAAATTTCAACGTCATGGTCATTTAAATACCTTTATCAATGTAAATATTTATTGTTTTTTTATTTGCATCAAACTGTGAAAGTTGCGAACACAAATGGAAATCAGTTTTGACATCTGGATGTGCTGAAGAAATGAAGTTGAGAAGAAAATTGTTTATTTTTCATGAATTGAACGATGCATGTAAATATTTTACTCTTAATAAAGAACATAAATACAGTGTCGACTTTGATTATTTGTGAATAGCATATTATACTTTACAGTCACCCAGGTAGAACTCATTCACTCATGAAGTCAAAGGTAGTGTAGTACTTTTTTTCTGTTGCAAGCTCGAAAGATCTTACCCAACTCCTCTCAACATGCGTTAGAGGCATGGTTAGTTTGTGACACTAAAAAATGTTCATGCTGCAGAATTGGGGTAACTCAACCCTGGCTGATCCTGGAGCTCTTACTGCATCGCATGCATAACTAACCCTCCCCTCAGCAAAATATCCAGCTGTCCTTTAAGCTCAAGTTCAGAAAGGTGAAACTCGGATGTGAAACTCATGTAGCTAAACCTGGACAGCTACGTCACCAAAGGGATGATCAACTACAATCAGTTGGGCGGGGCAAAGATTAATCTCACTTCTTATGTTTAAAGTTATTTCTTAAAAGGTAATTTTGATTCCTCTCGAAACACAGGTTAAAACTATGTATGGCCTAAATATAACTCATTCTCACATGTCTAGCTGATACCTCCTCATATGTGTATGTATCCTCGTGTGTGTATGTGCTACAGTAAATGAGTAGGGTTTCTCCTGGGGATCATCAGATACCTTCTAAATATAAACCTACAGTAGTACTGTAATCGACATGTGTTAAGTTGGTTATTTTTTCTGATACACATGAAAGAATTGAAGTGTTCTCCTACTCATTTTATTTTCTTTAAAAATTATTATCCACAAGATATCAGCCAAATAAAATAAACAAGGTGAAGTATTTAAGTACCGGAAAGGACTGGAAGTTTGTGAAACAAATGGCAGGTTTGTATATAACTTGAAACTATAAAATAGCATGTAACTGGGGCGCCGGTGGCTTAGTGGTAAGTTTGAATGCCTCATGTACCGATCCCGTAGCCATCAGAGCGGGTGGCCTGGGTTCAAATCTGCCCTGTAGCTACTTTTTCCGCATATCAGTCCCCACTCTCTCTCTCCCCATTTCACAACTTTAACCCCTGCCTGTCCCTCCAATAAAGGTAAAAAAATTATATTTTTACACAAAAGAGCACATGACTAAGGCTGTGTGTGTTTAATCATTTCTTGGTTTAATTTGTCACACACTTCCCTCTTGTGTTGTTGTACTTATGGCCGGTGAGTGTTTTCCCTACTTTGTGAATGTGTGCCTCGCCCTTATTGTGTTCATCTGTACCTTACTAGTCTCACGTCAACTGTGTCTGAACATGTGCATTTAGTCAAACCCTGGTGCCCTGGCTCCTCCTGTGTGTTTCATCTTTATAGTTGGACATTAAACTCAGGGGACAGTTCATTGTAAGACTTTATTTTTTGAATTAAATCTAAAATAAATGAGTCATAATCTGCTGTTGTGATCCCTCTCTTTTGAACAAACGTGAAAATGTTGAGTTTATAGTAAGAGATGTGTTATATACCAACAGATTCAACAAATTAAGTTGCATAAAAAAATCAAACATGTATAAAAAAATCAAATTAGAAATCTTTTCCTGTGTCAGTTTCCGGCGAAGGATGCTGTAAGGGTCATAATAAATCATTTAAAAACATATCTGTAAAAAGGCAGTTCGTTTAATCTCACAATATCCAAATGAAGACCTGATCTGATGAAATAGAAAACATAAGACTCGTGTAAAACTTCAACCTTTATTTAACTTTAAACACCCACCTTCCTGAGAAGCCTGGCATGGTATTTAAATAAATTAACACACAATCAATTACAAAAGGCTTGACTGTTTACAGAGTGTCTTTTTATCATGCGCAGTGCTTTACATCTTCAGATTTGCTCAAAGAAAAATATTGAGGAACAGAGCAGCAGCTTTGTGGATTCAGTGGCACCAGTTTGTCCTGTTTAAACTCCACAGAAGTGAAAGCATCTCTCCACAGAGTAAACACTGCCTGCTGGTGTCCAAACAGCCTCAATGATTTTTTTTTGTCATCTACTTACTTGTGTCCCATCACACTGACATGTAGAAAAAAAACAGACTGAAAATGGCTTGTGTTCCACTTTTCTGAACACGATGAAAATTAAAATCATTGTTTTAAGTTGCAAGACTATTTTTTTTTTAACTACTCAGAAACTAGTTGGCAGAGATTTTGTTGCTCTCATCACATCTGCTCTCTTGGCAGGGACGGCACAGTCAAGTGTGACACTTTTAAACACACCAAAACGATAACGGCAAATCGAGCCATATGTGCTACTCAATGAAAGGTTTTGACAATTAATCGCAGTCCAAATCTACAGACATATGTACAACTTATCGTCTGCTACGTTCGGACAGCCTGTGGTTCAGTAAAATTGTGTGTTATCAAAAAAAAAAAAAGGCACGTGAAAGGAGCTGTTTTAGTTGAGTGGATTTGCTCTGACTATTTAAAGCACTCTCATGACTATCCCACTGTACATCTACTAAAGCCTCTGTCTACACACAGCATTTTAAATAGGATCACATCAGCTACAAAATGAAGTACAACTACAAGAAAACACACATATTTACACATAAGATATCTGCCACTTGAAGAATAAACAGTAGGCTGATTTCACCTGGACTAATTTGAGTGATTCCAGGTTGGGTTAGTATGTGCAGCCTTATTGTCAGCTGAGGTTGATAAGAGGAATAACAGGGGTTGTTTCTAACTTTTGTTTTGTTGTACACAGTTTAATTTTAAGGCACAGAGGGGAAAAAAAAGATGGAAATAAGAAGAAGATGAAAGACCCGGCTTGGATGACTGAACTTCATAGGCTGAGTGCCTGCTCTCAGACGACTGGCTGGTTTATGTTTAGCATGGCCAGATGATATTCTAAACACACAGTCAACAAACTCAGGGGTGCCCTCTTATGTAAGAGAGCATGTACAGTATGTTACAGAGAGAAAATAAAGTGGTTACACGACTATACAATGTTGTGTCTGGGAAAAAAAGGGAATCTCGTTTCTAGTTTAGAATGCAGTAAAGTTATCAAAAGTATCTTTTTTTTAAGTACCATAGCAGGTAGTCACATATTTTCTCCTAAACTACAAGTGATGTATAATTTTCAGACAGTTTTCCAATGCAAGGAATTTTTTAATGTAGGATTTTGAACAACTTTTATATTAACTTCTGTTAAAGACATCTCCCAAACCAGCACTGTTTTCTTAATCTAAAGTATGCATGGTTTGTTCCACATAGAAAACTACTTTTTAAACACTTGTTAAGTTTAGATTAGTTTGACGTTTTAAGAAAAAGGCTTCTTCAGTTTCTTGCTGAGGGATGGATAAGACGACGACACTGTATTGTAGCCTACATTTTAGGCTAGAGACAGGTTAGCTTAGCTTTGCAAAACGACTGGATGCAGCTAACTAAACTATGTTTACAGGTAACAAATCCTCCAAAAAAGATCTGAAGGTTTTAAAGTTAGTCTAATCAATGCTTTTTTCACAGCTAATGTAACTGTTTGTCTGGTTGAAGCCTATATTTTAACATATGCATCGGGTCGCTATCAATCTTCAAATCCAACTTTCATTAGGGAAGGCGAATGGGCAAATTCCCCAAAAATGCTGAACTGTTACTTTAAGATGACCACAGATGTTCTTATAGTGAGCCGTTTGTGTTGATTCTGCAGTTTCTTAGGTGGCTACATGAGTGACTCATTTTTGAAACATTTAATGACTACTCCCTCTCTTGGCATCCTGATTTGATACGACCAATCAGGATTCAATATATTTTCCGAGAAGACCTATTTTAAGGCTATGGCCTTACATTACACAACACTGCTGTGCTTGTGTCACTCTGCACGTTTGTGTGTGTGTGTGTGTGTGTGTGTGTGTGTGTGTGTGTGTGTGTCCATTTCCATGCACAGATCAGCAAACTCAGCTGCTCTTGCCTCAGATTTTTCGCTCGGGCTTAAGTTTCCCACAGCCTCGGGGTCAATGTCAAGGCTGTGTGAAAAAGCATCGACATTACTGTGCTAGTATGTGGGCTAAAAACTCGTAGTGGTTGCTAAATGGCCATGAGGGGGGAAAAAAACTAGATTGTCAGGTAAACATCATAAATGATACTGTTCCCACTGGATATGTGAATGATGAGAATGTTATCAGGATATTGTGGAAAGGTAGAGTCTGCATCTTGGCTTGTGATGAAAATAGTGGTAAATAAGGCCAGGATAGCTGGGTTAAGCACCACAGTGGAAAGAGAACTTTTTGGTTCCTTGGTCCCACAACGGATATTGGACATGATCTGAAGGCTGTACAGTCTTTTGGGAGTGGTGATTGGTACAAGTCCATGATCTCGCTCAGATGACCTCCCTACTGTTGCGAATAGCACAACAGAGCACCATACTGAAGATCATCCCGATAACCTGTGAAAATAAAAAAATGTTTTTCGTAAAATTGTTCTCACTTGCATAAAAAAAAAACCCATGGTGTGTATTTTTAACTCTTCTCAGAACCCGACTCACCATGACTCCAGCAATGCCGATTCCCACGTACCCAATGATGTAGAGTTTACTGTTGAAGAAGTCCTTGATGCCTGTCTCACAGTCCTGCACAACAAAGAAAAGAGGAGTCAGCAAATACAACTCATTTGTTCTACAACAAAGAGATATCATTTCATCTGGAGTCTGGAGCTGGTGACAGATCTTGCCTTTGTTCCCGGTTTGGGATCAGAGCATTGGCTTGCTATGGTTCCACAACAGTTCAGCTAAAAAGTGGGAAGAAAAAAACAATGAAGCATGTTCTTATTCCAAAACCTTTTTGATGTGCAATATCGCTGCATAAGAAAACAAAGTCTTTACTTACCACTTTCTCGTATGACAGGATCAATGTGCTGTTATTGTTTTCGTTGTAGGTGGTTGCGTAAAAGTTCTGAACGTCTTCGATTATCTGCGTGAGAAAGAACTTTAGCCATTCAGATTTGCCACGCTCATTTAAACACTCAAGTGTTCAAATATCGAGGAGTTATTAATTAATTATTATAAATCCTTTAATGAACAGGCAACACAGACACAGTGTGTTATAGAGTTATCTCATGGAATATAAATGTTGATTAAATGTGTCATTGTTTCAGTTCAAAAAAGACTTAGAAATTCTAAGCTGAAAATTGGGTCTTCTAATAAGCCACATGTCTCTACCACACCCACACATGCTTTTTAAATTTTATTCTCTATAAATAAGCGTACCTTGTCTTTGTTTAAGAACCCAAACACCCCTGCTGCAATCTCAGCACCAAAGATGATCAGCAGGCAGGCAAAGAACTGAGAAAGATGCAGAAGACAAGAAGTCGTTGTAACATGGCTTTAGGCGATACACAGTATATGCCTGATTAAATGGTATTCTTCCGCAATTTTCATTATTAAATTCAGAGAAGATGCAAATCAGTTTTGCTCCTGTGTTTTGTTTTTCACTCACAGAACCAAGGAGGCATTGAGATTCTCGCACAGCTCCACAGCAGCCAAAGAAACCCACCAACATCACCAGACTGCCAGCACCTATCAGGATGTACACCCCTGGAAGAACAGGTCACAAGATATGTCGCAATTACATGAAGTCACAATTACATGAATTTCAACCCCAAAAGAAAAGTTAACAATACCTATGCTTATTATCCAAACAACTTCCTTTCAATCCATCCTTTCAACATAATTGGGATGAATCAATGTAAACTAGTGAATGCACACTGCTTCTGTGGTTCGATTCTTCTCTACAGCTCTGCTGACATCTTTGGCTGATTCCCACCAGTTCGCCCAGTCACCAGCAGGAGGCAGCATATATCTACCATTTTAAGTTTGAACAGTTACTGTCTAGGTTGCAAAGCGGAACTCACACAGGTTCAGGAACATTTCAGACTATTTCTGCAGGCAGCTAAGCACACTTTTTTGGGAGACAGCCAATTTGTGTGCTTTGTCCTCTTATAAGAGTTCTTAAAACTAGCCTTGTTAGCACTAGCCTGATTTAGAAGGGTCTGCAGGGAGGAATTCAACAACAGATATGTTCCTCCAGTGAACTCATGAAGGTGGGGCCAGTAGCTAGGCAACCACTCTACAGAGGATGCAGCGAGATAGGACGCATCATCCCCTAGGTGACGTGGGCTCAGGTGGGGAACAAGAGAAGAAGACGGTTGAAAGGATCCCAATGTGTAAACAAGAAAAGTACTCAGTGTGATACAATGATTGAGTCATTTCTTTTGTTCTCAGGAGCGATTGCTCAAGGTGTAACATGATCAGTGAGCTTGCTGATCACCTTTAATCAATTGATAGGTGTTGTGTTTTTATCAACAAACTGATAGAGAAGATTTTTCTCTTCTCTTCGATAGAGCACTGCTTTAGTTTTCCTTTTGTATTTAAGTTCAAGCTTGTCTCTATTTTCTTATCATCAATCATTTTAAAGTACAACGATGGGAGGAGGTGTTTGTGGGTTTGACGCCATAGGAACGAGGCATGGCAACTGTAGAGAACCTTCTGCTGTATCTGTGGGGACAGGACTCTCACTGTCAGAGCCATGTGTAACACTAATCTCTCAGAGGACCTGACAGAAGCCGGCCGTCCTCAGTCCAACCACGTGGACACCTAAGTCTTACTTCACACAGAAACAAATGTGTGTAGATTGTAAAATTAGGAGATCGTTGTTTGTGGTCCTGAAATACAGAAATAAACACCTGACGGATTATTTTAGCCCAGACAAAGCAGTTCTGTGTCCCTATAGCTTTTAAAACTTAACACAAACATTGGGCTAAATTTAGGAATTGGCAACACTTTTTGTTAGGTTTAGGAAAAATATCATAATTAACGCTAAAATACTAACTATCACTACTAAGTCTTATTTTAGTTAAAGGCTGCATTTAAGCATCCTGGGTCAACCACCTTGAGACACTCCCGTCCAAGACTTTTTTCACTCTTTCTCCAACAGTATACAATAATATACCACATGCCTGATGTAGACGCAACTGATAATTCTTTGAAGAGTTTCACAAATCTTGGGGCTAACAGAAAGAAGTGATGAAATACCTGTTACAAGCCATTGTAAGTGCAACGCTTCTCTACCATTACACCACCTTGTTAGTGAAGAGAAGCGACTAAAGCACCAATCAGGAGGATAGTTTAGTCTAGACACTCCTAAAAAGAACTGACATTAAGATGAGTATTATACTGGCACTGTGACAGTCGTGAGTAGGAGAGGGGTGGACCTTTGTAAGAACACTTCTCATTTGACGTCCTGCCTCTCCTTCTCTTCAAAACCATAGATTCCAATCTGTTACAATGACAGCCATCTTCCATATTATATTTTTAACCGTCCACACAGTCAGTCCTCCCCCTCTTACCACTGTTTCCATCTGAGAAGGCTGACATACTGAGCTAAAATGTGGTTGTGAGGTTTCCCTTGTGCATTAACTGAAGTCATTTCCTGTTATTCACACTCATCTCCGGTGTGCTAGGTGCACACACATGCTTCATAATCAAAACAGCATTAGATGATGTCTTGTTGAAATTGCATGTAGAAAACACATTCAAACCACAACACTCACATACATTCAGACAAAAACAAAGACGTTCTTGAAGCTGTTCCCTTACACCAAATCTCTGGGCACATGAGGACTTTTATTTGAGTTTGTATTGCGTGTTTGTGTGCATGACTGAAAATGTCAGTTTATTGAATCCCCTTTCCAGACTGAGAAAGACTCTGATGTATGGACCATTTCTTTCTAATATGTAGCCTAAGTATCACTAAGATTCAAACTGGTATTTTAAACTTAAACTGATCTATCTGTGACCAATTAAGAGTGGTTTCTCTGCAACATAGACACAGATGTAAGTAGCTTTTTATTCAGCTGTTCCATATGAAAGAAAGTAATTTCCACTATGCTGGAATCATACAGTAACCAACTATCCACCCCAAAAGATCAATTTGATGTCTGAAACATATCTTGCTTTATTGCTTAGCTATAAAAAAACACAACAAATGTATTGTTTTTAATAGATTATACATTATACATCAGTAAAACTTCAATTTCAGGAATTTTCTTGCATTTTTCATATTGGACTCACCTATGAAGAAAGTGTCTGGAGCCTTTTCTCCATTGAGCAGAGACACAGTTTCTGGATCAAAACGCAGCCACAGCCCCACAGCCAGGACAAAAGATCCCATCAACTGAAGAGAAAGAGAAAACAAAGACTTTTCAGAACCCAAATGACCCTTATTTTATTATTTTTTTCATAGGAAACACAGACAAATAAAGGATCTTTGTAGATGAGTGCTCCCTTGTTAGTCTCTCTAAAGACTTGTGCGTATTCAGACTTTTATTATAACCCAACCCGAATTAAAGCAAACTGTAAAGCCTGACTATACTCTGCCTTCTTGCTTCTGGCATCCTCTACATAAAAGCAATTCAAACTGCACATGCTGTCAGGTGGTCCTTTTTTGAGAAATACAATCAATGAACGACAACAACTTTTGGTTATTCCATAACGACACACATTTCTCTTATCATTCTTTCCTGCTTTGGATTACATATCATTAGTGTTTAATGGTTCCAGAATTCATCTCACACACACGCTATGCTGTTTTTCATCTTAAGCACGACAATGGCAACAAATGGTCTTCAGGCCTTCAGAGAGGTCTTGTGCTTTTGCTGTCTAAATGTGATTTTCCACATAAATGAAGTAAACGGTGGCGTGGAGTTTCCACTCTGTCCCTCCACCCTTTAAACCCGGGCAACAGGAAAAAATATAATATATAAATATATATATATATAAAGAGTCAGTTAGGCTTAAAAATATATATTTTCTCTTAATCATGGTAGGATAATTAACAGGTTCCAAACAACAGATCCCATCAAAATGTTGCTTATGTAACTTTGAAACACCTCATAGCAAGTTCTGGCTGTATGGATAAAATGGCCCTCTTGGCTGCAGGCAGCAATGTGGCACCTTGAGCTTTAACAGGCTCTCCTGTTTGTTTGGAAACATGGTTACATGTTGCTCACATTTTCCTTCATCTCAACCACCATCAGTATACATCAACTGAAATCATACTCGGTGCAATGCTGTTGCTTTGGGGCAAGGTAAATAAATCATTCTCTAAGGGTTCAGAACACCTTGAATTCAGTGTTTTTTTTTTCTCTGACATCTGATCTGAGATACTTTCAAGGACTAGAAACTGGGTAGATGCTCCAGTGACAGATCAATACTGAGAGGTTTTAATGATCACTGAGTCTGCGCCCCCTGAGGATAATCCAGCCTAAAAAAACCTTCTGAGCCTAGCCTCAAAACAACAACAGTGTCCATGTGTGTGTGTATGCGGCCAAAGACATAAAATGATTTGACTAAATGGAGAGCATTTCACAGTCACATGGTCTCTGTGTCCTAGATCTCAGAATTTAGCGTGTTTAGACTGTTTTTTTTTCCATGACTGTTTGTTTCTCTGTCCTCAAGCTCTGTTGGGAAAATGTATTTAAACAAAAAACACTGTTGCCTAGTTCAGAGAAAAACAAACAGTTCCCAACTGTAACTTTACTTTGTGACCTCTTGTTTATCACATCTGCTCTTTTCTGGTTTTGTAATTCCTTTTTCAGTCTTTGTATTTTGTGTTTCATCCTCTTCCTCACCGTCTTCACTCGTCTCACCTTTTGCTCCAGGTCTGCAGGTTGTATTTTATACTGCTAGTCTGAAGTAAAGCCAGTAGCTCAGTTGTAAAGCATCGGAATAGGACAGGTGTTGGGAAAGGCGGCTTCCTCCCAAACTGAGGATTTAGTTTCGTGTATGGTGATGTATGGGACAGCTGAGCTCTCGGGGTTGCAGGATTAACAGGTCCAAAGTGATAAAGCACAGTGAAGCAAGGGCTGTAGATGTAGACTTACTGACCCAGGCTGGATTAGAGCAGAGGGAATCTCTGGATCTATTTAACACTGGTATTTGTCTGAACACCTGATGGTGCGATAATGTGGGCGGGGGTGTGAAGTGAGGACTGCTGCCTACTGACTTGTGTGGATAAAAAAGTGTAATAATAAGTAGAAAAAAACCCAATAGATTTTTATTTATATATTGTGATATCTTGTTCAAAAAAAGTATGAATATATTCATGTTTTAGCTATTTATTGTATATCTAAATAGTTATTTTCTTAAAGAGATTTAAAATTACTTCATCATCTTCATCACAACAATACACTTCCTTTTAGGGTTAGGGTTAGGGTCGTACAAAACCAGACTCATTTATGGACAGCCATCTGCTAGAGAGAGAGAGAGAGAGAGCGAGAGAGAGAGGCAGACAAACCGAGAGACGTACAGTAAGCAACAAAGAAAGCCCCCGACAACAGAGACTGATAATAGCAAAGCCAACGATTAAATTAAAATATGACTAATATCAGTGATAGCAACTATTAGACTATTAAATATAAGTATTACTAAGTATTAATGACGATAGTAAAGAATAGTGAATGTCTAGATGCAGAGCATTAGGTCTTTGTTAGTGCTGTATGGAGGAGCAGGTGGTTTCTTCACAGCTCAACCAAACCTCCTTGATTATGGCTATTTTTAAAAGCCTTTCAAAATGACCTCGATATAGATGGAGGTACCACACTGTGAGGTCGCGCTAAGTACATTCTCCACTTTTTCACTCATCAGCCTCACTATCCCAAAGGTCCCATTTGCGTCCCTTCTAACATGCCTCCCTTTACATAGACCCCCCCCTCCACACACACACACACACACACACTTCAGTCTGCCATCATTACCCTGTCTGACACCAGACACACCCTTCTCCACGCCTCTCTACCTCCCAAATCTACCCCTCGACTTATCTCCATGTTACCCCCCTCCTCTACCCCACCTCATTATACCCCCCCTTCCCTCACCCAAAGGACAAAGACCCTCTGTCTCCCTGTGACTATACTCTGGTGTGCACAATAGGAGGGAAAGGGGCAAAAACAACTTAAGAGGGAACGAAAGAAGGCATCAGAGGATCCATCATCTTTTTTCTTTTCCTGCAGACACAGACTACAGAAGCATGTTGTTTGGAGACTAAGTTAAAACTCCATCCCGTAAAGCCTATATTTCTCAAAGAGAAAGAGGGAAGTAAGAAAAGCAGAGTCCTCTTTTCAGTCCTAACATTTTTGAAGAAAGTTTGTATGTCTGGATATTCTAGAGAGGGATGGAAATCTCTCTGTTGCAGCTTTATTGAAGCTATTTTACAGTGTACTTTTTAACAGTGCAGTTAAATTGTGTTTTTTGTGAGGCGAAATTTCCATGAGAGCAGGGACTGGGATGACACAAAGCTGTGGTCTTGGTTAGAGACAGGCTGTGGCATAATCCACTCTCCTTGTTTTAAGGGAAAATAGTCTTCATTTAAATGAAAGTATTATGAAAACAAAACATGTTTAAATGACTCCTCTAAATCCAGCAGTAATTAGTGTGTAACTTAAGCTTTCAAAAATAGTCTTCCGTCTAGAAAATGTTTAGGAAAACAGATGCAAGCCCACATTAAAAATGATGGGCAGAAGGAAAGTGTAAATAGGAGAAAGACAGTCATGGGTGGAGTAAATCCCATTGTGCTCTGTCTCAGGATGAGGGAAGCTGGTGGCACACATCATCCTCCACATCACAGACAAGTGATATATTTTCTGTCCATAAAGTCTGTGCCTGTTACCAGAAATTTAAAAAAAGATTGACGCCTCTTCAAAATAATGGTTCTGAACAGTTATTTAAGGAATTTAAAATATAAATCTCGCCGGTTTTATATATATAAGAGGTTTGATTGTCGAGGACCTAAACCCATATTAGAAGTGTGTTTAAATGGCTTTATCTTCAACCCTTGAAATCGTCTGTTTCATATATTTTTGTTTGGAAACAATTACCAATTGTCAAAAAGACTGATTAGGTCTGCATTGGGATATTCATGAAATAAATTAGATGTACATATCACCAGTATTCAATAAAAACAGCAAGGGACCAAGGACACTGCCATGGTGCATGCCACAATGTCACAGGATTCTTCAGCTCTCCAGCTCTTAGGTCATCAGCTAATTTATTAAACTAGTCGTAATAAAATTCAGTTTTAAGACGTTTTTACTGAACACATTTGAAGAAAGAAATGTGTTAAAGGTGGATATTTCAATAGAATACTTAAGAATACTTAATACGATGTGTATGATGATAAAATGTGTAATGCTGAGGAGGAACTGTTTAGTAAAATGACTTAAGCTTCTGCTCTTTGCAGAACTAAGAAAATTGCCCTAGATGTTGTGTCCGCTGGCTACAGTTGCAAACTGTAAATATTTGATCAGCAGATGCACTGAAAGACTCCAAAACAAGAAAAATTAAGGAAACAGTGTAACTGGTTTTCTGGATAAAGAGCTTAAAAATGGACGGACACTTTTTTCTGTATGTACTATTTATTTATTTTTATTTTGTAGCACTCCTAAATTGGTGAAATTTGGTTTTTAATGAGGAAGAACACTGGGGGAATATCTGTGGGAAAGAAGATCTGTTTTACATCACTTTAAGCAGAGATTGCCCCACACTGTTTACCTCGCAGGCTTAATTTTTGACTAAATAGGGCAGTCGGTGAACCATAGCACACTAACACAGACTCGACAAGCCATTCAGTTATTGATTTACTGTTGCAGGCGTTTGTATTTTTAGCAGTCAGTGTATATACAAGAGCTTGACCTGCATTATATCAGTGACAGCTTTGTATTGAAGTCCTACAGGAATCTCACTTCATCCTGATGCTGTGCCATGAAGTCCGGAGAGATTTATAAACACAGCACCACTTTACAAGCATTGATTGATGACCATGTTTAGTCGAATAAGGTTGTTTAAGCTAAGTATATTACACTCTTCATCATTCAGGTAAAACAACTTTTTGTGTGTGTTTATAGTGTCAGCATGTCCACCAGCTTCCATCTCCCAACACTCCATATGCAGAACCACAGCCCCGTCCTACTTTACTCATGGAGGGATTTGAAGGCAAACATATCTGCCCCTCCTCCATCACTGGCTCTCATCACACACACTCTAATCATCCCTCACTCAAACATCAGCAGAGTGGACTTTGATTATGATCAGCTCGAGAGATAACTCTTCATTTGTAGAAAAAAAGAGTTTTGGGAATGTGTGGAAGTTTTATACAGCAAGAGAAAAAAAAACACAGGTTAAATTCTTATGTGTTTTACACTCACATAATACCCTGCAATGCTCATAATGATCTATTCTCTATTCTTATCTGGGTCAACTTCATGCCAACTGTCCCTCTTTCGCCATGTGAGCGCGCACACACGCACATGAATATCCCTCTCAATCTCCCAATGACCCTTTTCTCTCCTGTCACATTTGCTCTCCTGCTTCCATCACTGATAATTCACTCTTCTTGTTCGGCCATCACTGTCCTCTTCTCTCCACCTGTTTATCATGTCTCTCTTTACCTCTCTGTCTCTGCATGCATCCATACTCCAACGGGATTTCAGCCAAAAACTTATTTCAGCCAATAACATATCTTAGTGACGATATGACAACTTAATGCTGGGGTCCTGTGGGGCTGCTGGCTGCGTTCACGCCAGGGTCCCTTAAGGCTCTCCTGCTTAGCCAGGCAGGAGCAACAGACTGAAGTTATGCTATTGTCCCTCTGTCACAATGGCTCCATTCACACTGCACTCAGCGCCTGATCCACTTCACAGATGCTTGTAGGAAAATTTCTCCCTCTCCCTCTCTACGCACGCACGCACGCACACACACACACACACACAAACACACACAGACAGAGAGAGGACCGTCCCGTTGACCTACCTGCTCCTTGGCACTGCAAAGTAAATGTTCATCTTTTCTATAGCAAACACTTTGGATGGGTTTAACAGAGATGTCAGGGTTTATTTTATGAAGACACATGTGCAGAGCATGTATGCAGGAGACACACACACACACACACACACACTAACACACCTTTCACATCCACCTGACAGTTTGTCTTCTTGAGTAAAGTGACTCTCTTGTGTCTCCCCGTGACTGCCCAATAACAGAAGGGGAAGCAGTTTAGGGGATCTTGCAGCTGTTTCTTCATTTCAGCAAACAGCTCTCTTTGTTAATGACGCCGAGTTTGTTTTCCATTTAGCCATATACTGTCTCTCAATCTCTCTAACCTTCTCTGTCTTTTCATTCAGCCTTCCTTTCGAAAACATGCTTCCCCGGCCCGGGTAAAAAAGGGGCGGGTTTTTCCTCTGTGGAAAATCTGATTTGAGCCCGCTGAGCCAGGAGTTAAAAAAAAGAAAAGAAAAAAGAAAAGAAACAAAACCTTGCTGTCACCCTTTCCGCGCCACTCACAGTAGGCTAAGTAAATCCACGAGAGTGCAACAACTAAATACAGCATGAGAGGGTTAGGCTACAAAAGGGAGTATGAATGTGAAAACTGTAAACAATCTCAGCATCTAAATAGCACGTGGGCGTGGAGGTCATATATCCCATAGAGAGTAAAGTCCCATTTGCGGCACTCGTTCATTGACGCACAACTTTTATCTCGAAAATGAATAGAGCGAGCACGCACTTACCCAGAATATGAAGTTGAACACGAACAGGAGATATTTCACGCATTTCATTCCTCCTTCCACCTTCCCCATGTCGGCTGGTTATGCGTGCGTGTGGATGTGTGTGTGCGCCCTTTAAATTCTCCACAGTAGATTTTGCTCTGACGCTTGTATTGGCTCTGCTCACAGGGACAATAACGGTATAGCCCGGTCACAACACTCGTGCATCAAGAGTCTCTCTCTCTCTCTCTCTCTCTCTCTCTCTCTCTCTCTACAAACACACTACACGCGCGCGCACAAACGCCGGCGGGATCCGCTTAAACTCTTTCCAGACCGCCCCTTTCAATAATACTGAGGGGGGCCGAAGGGGGGGCTGTGACTACACGATGGGGACTTGGCATATGTTTGGTCGACGTGTTGTAGTCCTGGTGACAAAAGGACAACCTTTAACTTTACATTTATATTCATTTATTCTAATTCTTAATTGTAAGGCTCTTTGTGGTTCTTTGACAGCTAAATCTGCCACACAAATCACCAAAGCCTTTAACAAAAAAACAAACAAAACCCACGGTTCTAGCTTATGAGAATGTGACCGCCAACTCACTTTCTCTTTTGTAAGGGTTTCTAATAAATGTGTATAGACGTAACCAGGGACTGTTTACATTTAGTCTTGTCTGCTAATGTAATAAGTTCTATTCCCCCCCCCCTAATTTTGCCATGATGACTTATAATAATAAGTATTATTATTAGTGTTATGATACACTTTATAAATTCTGTTCAAGGTATGTGCATAATTTGCAATTTCATAAAACTATGCCTACTTTGGTTTAATATTGTGTAGGCTACTTAATTAAGTGAATGTTGTAAATCAGGTAATTCTATTGTTCATATTCATATTTTCTTTAGTTCATTTTAATAACAGAAGCACACCTGACCATTATGTACCTGAGTTGTACAGGAACAATAAAGAAGTTCTTCTCATCGCTTTTACTGAACTCAGTAAATCTGCACTTTCTTTTGATGCCCCAAATTCATGGAACACCCTCCAGCAAACTCTAAGGCTCGGAGTTCTTCCCTCTCTTCCAGAGTTTAGGAATTTGATTTCGAAGAACTTTGTTTCAAATTGTAACTGTTTTAAATGATCTCAGTGGTTTTTGTCACAGATTCTGCGTGTTTGATGTTTTTTTGCTTGTTTTACTGTGCTTGGAATCTCGACGGCATTGGAAATGAGGGAAACCTCAGTGTCTTTTTCGAGAATAAATAAAGGTTTGAAACGAAGTGAAGTCATTCAAGTAGCCTAGAGGTGACCAAGTGTGGAGTTAATCCTTTGAGTAAGAAACAGTCAGTGTGCCAGTACTGATTGGATGCCCTGTAGTGATCAACTTTCTACATCAGATAGTAACTTTGAGAAATACAATTTTTGCTAGGCTATAATGATTACAGTTTTAGCTTCTTAAAATTATTTCAATATGTATAATGTGCCCATGTGTTTCACAAGGTTACAGAATATGTCATATGCAGGGTGGCAATACTATAAAAAAAAGAAATGCAGATATTAGGGATGGTATAATGCGATAACGGTTTACTCAACTTCCTTTTGCGAGATAAAAATGATGTTAAAATGTTGAGTAATTTCTTAACTGTTATAGTACAACACCCTTCCCCAAACCATTCCTGTGCAATCAAACCAGTTCTCTGTGAAAAGAAAAACATGTCAAAGATTTAAGGAAAGGAAGTCGATGTTTAAGTTCTCAGAAAGAATGGACTGGAAACTAAAATACTCTCTTTTCTCATTTTCTCCTCATTGTTCTAATTCAATTCTTAAGTGAGGAGTAATAGTGAACACGTTGAAACATGTTTTTCATCTGTCCTCAGTATCACATTTTTTTCTGTCTGGTCATGATGAAAAACAGTTGAATATTATTTCCTTAGAGGAAACAGATGACCTTTAACTATGAGGACTTTTTTTTATATTAATTTCAAACTTGAAATCGCTGTGTGGGTTGGCGTTAATGATCTTAACATGACTATTAATTCTTAGAGTTGGGTTGAGTCATTTTCTCCTAATGGCAGCTGAGTAAAGTTAACCTATTTGGGATACACTTTTAACCACTGATTCATCTGATTTAAATGTGCAACCTACTTACTTTTTATAAACACTTGCCCAACCTTGTAAAGTCTTAGATACGCAAAAACAGGATACAAACTATATTACTATTAATGAAATTGAAAGCACCTCTCCTGGCTTTCTTCTTTCAATTTATTCCTTGACATGTAGCATAGATCTCAGCAGCAACACAATGTTCAACATAAATATTTTCCCAACAACCATGGAGAGTAGGGGTAATATCCACAGATCACTTTAATTTGATCACCAGGAATTTAGGCAGTGGTTTGAGAAGTCCTTTTAGAGGAGAAAACAGTCTGCCAAGCCGAAGGCTGGAAGGACTACGGAGTCAGACAGGAATGACAGGATGGCAGAAGAGACAATGGCTAGAACAAATGCTCAGAGATTGCATCAATTTGAAAAAATCATCAATAAGTGGAGCTCTTTAGGGATTTGCAAGAGTTTTAGCCTTGTAGCTCAACCTGTAAAAACCCTCAGAGAAGCAGAGTCTGCGCTGTGGCACTCATTAAGGGAACAGTGGAGGACAGAGAGAAAACTAAAGTAGTTTAGCTTGGACGTTAACCAGAGCAGAGCCAAAAGAGGAAAGGCTGATAAGACTGGGAAAAGGCCAGTGTGTCCCTGCTTGTTGGCTATTTGGGGCTGTTGGTGTCTGAGCTGCTATGTAGCTCCAAATGTTTGAAAAAGAAAAATTAGTGCAGGCCTTAACCTCAATGTACATAGATGGTGGTCTGGCTCATTTTACAGGCTAATACGTAATGGATCCATTAAGGGTTTGCATCTAGAGCTGCTCTGATATAACACTATTATAATCAAATTGCGACCTTTCCAATCCTATACACTTAAAACAGTTTTGTTGGTTAATATCTTCAAGTTAAGAGCATATTCCTTGTTTTCTCCTTTTTTTTGACTGGGTGGGAACAGTAATAGCTGTTCTTTAGCAACAACCATGTTTGGGTCAGGGCCTGGACCCGTTCCTTGACTCTGAGGTCATACTGATGTCAGACTGAGATATCTGTTGGACATTAAGTCCAAAAGGAAATGAAGCTGTAACTAAACAAAAGCTGAGTAGAATAATTCGGTTTATTTAAGTTTTCTTCCTTCATATTAATGTACCTGTGGTCTTAACGCTTGGATATTAGTTATGATGTCCACAACAAGCTTGCATGGTATTAGCAGCGATGAGACTTATATTTGTGGCAGCATTGCACCATCTATTGGTCAAATTGCAAACTTGCACTAAATTATTTCAAGGTAAAGCCACATGCGCATGTGCTTGGATGTGTGCTGATCAAACAAAGGACTGTACAAATGGGCAAAGAGAAGTTGGCTGTGTTGTATACATACTCATTGATTGCTATTGTGACTGCTCTGTATTCTTTGCATGTCCATGTTTGACCTTCAAACAGTTAAAAACAATGGATGAACAATGAGACAAACTGAAACTAAGCTGTCTCTTGCCTCACCTCGTAAGTCTATAAACATACATTGTTCAATTCTGCTCCTTCTTTCTTTCTTTCTTTCAATGCATATTTCCTACTTGGGTTTTTTCTCAGCTATTGCAAAACGATTGCCATGAAATCAGTTAACAAACCACACATCCTGGTACCTCTTAATAAACCTTTGATCAAGTGGCCTTGCTCTGCTGAGGTTTCCTGGCAACACATCCAGTGTGCATGATCTGTAAAGCAACAACAACAAGGTGAAGAGCACATACTGGCACTTAGGGAGGATACAAATGTGTGAAAACTTGTAGGACTAGATTGTAAGTGAACAAAGATATGATAAGAATGACAGAGAGGGTTTTCTGTCACAGTCTTCTTTTCCTCCTCTGTTCATTAAGATTTAGGGAATACTTTTCAAATTAACCACACGAGCGTAGCATGTTCTTATGTGTGTCTTTGTGAAGATGAAAACACTTTTCTGGCTTGGATGGAACAAAAAGATGAGCTGCAAAATATAAGAACACATGCCCAGTCAGTCCAAAGGCCAAAACCTCCACATAGACACTAATGACCTTTACTCAGTATCTGTTGGTTTATGGTTTATTCAGCGTCTTGATTGAGATCTAATAATAATACAAACATTTTTTTTGGATGCCCTGCACTGTCCGTATTGTCACTCAGTGTCTTTAGACAAGATTGGTTAAATTATATGTACAACCGAAAAAAAATGAGGATGAGGATAAACAACCAAAATGCTCATGCTTCCATACAAAAGAGAAATTGCGTATATGATGGTTTGATTAGCATGAAAATGATGTGCATCATATGTGACAAGACCACAACCTGCTTAAGCACATTAGTATGTTCTTCATCTTTATTGGCTACAATCATACAAAGGCATCATACCAATATGCATGGTGTGAACAACGTTCCTTTACCCTGGTAAGAGCCTGGCCGATCGATGTGCAGAATGGTTGGTTGGTCTGTGCGGCCTTTACCTGAAGTCAACCTTGCTCTGCAACTGGCTTTTGTCCCCTCTCTATAAAAAATGCAGGGTGCATAAGAAGAAGAAGCTGCCTGAAATTCAGAACAACCACAAGTTTTAACAATGTATTTAAATAAAGAATTTGTGGTAACTGAGAGTGTAAGTTGTTTCTTATTTCCTACTACTTTTTTATTTTTACTTTGTTTTCATCTTTTTACCCTATATGAAGCTCCAATTTCTTTATAGCAAGTTGTAGCACTTATGAGGATTAATTTGGAGTTAGGTCTCTGGCCATCTGATGAATGACACATTCATTGTTACATGGGTCGGGCCTACAACAAATCCTTTGGGAAACCTCTGATTTTAAAGTTTCTAAATGTTAAGATGAGCCACATATGGACATTTTTTGCTGATGTTGGTACTTTGCAGGTACCATACAGTCCGTTTTATGTAAAAATAACAACTATCAGATCGTTATGACTGAACCAAAAAACAATTAAGTTCTGAACTGTATAATTCAAAAAGCTAAAGAAGAAAGAGCAGAGTTGGGTAATAATTTTCTGTGGCATTATCAGTGTACTATTGGGATCCTTTGTTACTAAAATTGAATTCATTGTAAAAATGAAACAAACATATACAACGTAGGTTGATTATCATCTTGACAACCAAAATAGGAAAAACAACGCCGTCTCTAACTGACACAAGAAACCAGGCAAGTACTGAGGTGTTTAATAAATAACAGCATGAACAACACAACAACAAAAACAACAATAATAAAAGCTTGAATTCAATTTGTATATACACATACTGTATATATTTTCATATTTGACTGTATAAACCATAAATATGACATGCAGTCCTTATAACTTAAAACAACCAGGACTTCTTGGACTGAGGTAGGGTCAGGGGGGCTGGGGGATCGGATTCATGATGATGTTTGTGTGTGTTTGTGTGTGTGTGTGTGTGTGTGTGTGTGTGTGTGTGTGTGTGTGTGTGTGTGTGTGTGTGTGTGTGTGTGTGTGTGTGTGTGTGTATGTGTGTGTGTGTGTGTGTGTGTGTGTGTCTGGATTTAATGCTATGGTCAGAGTGTGTTTGTTTGGAGATGGGGAGGAGGATTACAGTATTGGCAATAAAGCTGCAGTGGCTGTTTAGTAGAAATGTGTGTGCTTGGTTCATAGTTCAGTGTTCAGGAGTCAGTGCCCCAGTCGTCCCGCCCATGACTTCCGGCTGAGAACACACACGCACGCGGCGTTAATGCGGATGAAACGCCAGGCTGTTCGTTCCTTGTAGATGGTCAAGGCACTTACGAATATGTGTGTGTTGGTGCAGTAGGAGTTCCAGTGGCGGCTGTCGATGCCCAGACAGCCTGCGTTGCCCGATTTGGAACCCTGTTTTCCACCGCGCCCCCCTGGCCTTCCATTTGCAGTCCCAGAGCCTCTGTGTGTGGGGGAGCGGCAAGTGGTCTCATAGAAGAACTGTTTCTTCACCACGTTGTTGATTGTAACATTAGGCAGCACAGTCACCTCATTCCCAGCTATGTCTGTGGCTCGTGTCAGGTTGCCAACCCAGGTATTCATGCTGTCACACACTGAGTACTCTCCTCTGTGCATGGTGTGCGATCCCGCTCTGCGCCTTACCCTCACCCCCCTCACCCCTTCAATGTCATAGCCCTCATCCTCCAGGGCATCATGAGATGGGGTCTCCTCGCTGAAGACAACACGAGGGGAGGAGCGGTAACGTCTCTTAGAGAAGAGCTTGGGGTCCACTACTGGGATGGAGGGGTCAGGGGGAGAATCTGACATAGAGTGCCCTACGTCGGGGCTCTTATCCTGTGTGTGCGAGGCTGCTCGGTGGGGCCTCTTGGTCCTGTGGTGGCTGTTCCTACGGTGCTCCTGTGAACTATGTTGTTCAGAAATGTGGTCCCCTGCGGCTGTCTGCTGCTGTCCTGCTCTGCGATTGGCTGCTGTCTGCTGTCCTACTCTGTGGTTGGCTGCGCCGGCGCTCCAGGCCAATCCACCTGACATGTTTAGTACAGCCTGGACGCCGATCAGGAGGAGCAGGACCAGTGGTGACGACCTCATGGGCACACGTCCTGAGCCAAACACAAGTAAAAAATGATGTTATGGATATCAGGTAGACGCAACACAACATGTGAGTGTTGTTAAAACAGCTGACAGTGAAAAAAGTTCACTTAGAAAGCATACCACTATTATATAACAACAACTGAAATTGTTGTGGATTTCCCTATTTAAAATAAAAGATTTGATGTTTAACTTTTACTCTCACAAACAAAACGTAAACAAAGAACAAAAACACATCATTTCATAGGGTGATAAAAACCTGACTTTGGGGTTTATTTGGCTACTTAATCTAGCCCAATTGATTCATTGACTGTGACTTCACATATTTTGGCTCAGTGAAGTTTGGTGTGGCATTGCTGCTGTATTGTTGCTGCACAAGAGTCAACTTTTGGTGAATGGAAGAATGATGGTAGCTTGTGACTGTATTGGGTAATGTTGTGCTGCTGCCAACGATGTTTGCTGCCAATGTGTATGACTTTGAGATCTCTATGTATCAACAATCCTTAAATGTGCATTTGTCTATATTGGTAGTGCAGGTGCAGACACATTTTTCAATGGTTGTTTGAATGATCCATGTAGGCCTATGCTATATTAAGTCATAACTGAGAATCATTTCAAACATTGAATAGCCTATGGTTGTTCATATCACAATGGAATCTATAATGAAAAACCTGCACATTGAAAATGTGGTATTCTGATAGAGAAGAGTAGTGGCCTGATTTGCTTGAAACAAAATGCATTTCAAGTCGAGATTCATAGATGATTTGTATCGTCCCCTTGTCATTGACATAGTTGATAAGACTGAGTTGCATGCTTTTGCGTCCATTTTTTGTGTTGCATACAGATTTTTCCATTAAGTGAGGATGCTTATTTAAATCTAATCTCTCAAGCACTATTTTAACAGAGGAAAGTGTTTTGGTTGAGGAGAAGAAGTTATTCCATTTCACCATCACAGGACTATCTTCAGTCCTTGAACTCTAGTGTGTCTTTGCATGCTGTTGTGATGTGTACCTGTGGAATGTGTCCAGTTGAAGTGGGAGCCCCTGTGGACTCTAGAGCCAGACTCCAGTGCAGGCCGGACCCCTCATGCCTGCCACCTGGACCCCCTGAACCACAGCACTGAAACACAAAAACAGGCATAATACTTTAATTTAAACACAAGGATTCACAATTCAGCTGTCATATTTACTGTTTAGATAACAAATAAAATGAAAAAATTACACTGGATTCTATCAAGCTACAACAATTTGCAAAATGATACTAGTGCAAATAAAATGCCTCAAGGCAAGTTAAATGTTTAGCAAGAGGTTTTGAGAGAACTACAAAAATCTTATCTCTACCCTCAGACCACCACTACTCTCACCCACATACACAATTTACCATTCACTGATCTTATCTCATGCAGAGAACACTCACACACTCACCATGTTTAAGTCTAAGAGCAAATACTTGCCATACATTGGAATCTGCAGCATTTAACACCTCATTAGACATTACATCTATCAAACCTATAAGAAACTTCAACATGCATCATTAACATTGAGTGTGACATGTTTGTGTGTGAACACAAGATTGGTCAGATGTGCAAAAAGTGTCTTTCTTAGACGCATGCCATGTGCAAGTAAGAATGAATGCAAGGGTGTTTATATGAATGCCTTGACGCGTCTATACACACACACCCCTCCCACACAAACATTCAGAAGTTCACTGAGGTCGAGTTGTAACTGGCATGTCAATATTTCAGACTTGTCTACAATGTTCTATAAAATCTGTCCTGCTTGGCTGATGTAGCGTCTGAAAGTTTGGTTGTGTTGTAAATGTTTACCTTAACATTTTAAATATGAGAACCTTGTTGTGAGAGCTACAGTGCCATGGCTTGATATAAAAAGGCTTATGCATTGATTCATGGCCATGTTTGCAAAGATGAGACATTATCTTAGTTTTATTTGGACTTCAGTGATGCACAGGTCTTCCAGATAAATGACCTGCATTGAAATACTCCCTGTGTTGAGCATAATAACCAGAAGAGGTCAGTGTTGTCTGCATTTACAGACAAGTCAAGCAGCTGAGAAATATCAAAATGTCACTGAGAAAGTGATATTTTTCAGGTGATTTCCTTCAAGCTTTCTGTTTTTGGATAACAGTTTGAATGCTTGTTTGTCTTTGAGATAGTTATGGAGGGTACATATCACAAGAACTGTATTCAGAATATTTTTGAGGAACTTTTTATTAATGCATTTAGATTTTATTTTTTAAATCTATCTTTGTACTCTACCTTTTTTACTTGAAAATAGTTACCAGTTAAGTATTTTTAAAAAGAGAAGTCGGCTTTTGTTTTGTAAATTGTTGTGACTTATGTGCACGATGGGTGTTTATTATTATTATTAGTGTTTGACTCTGAAATTTCCCATTCTTGATAATGAGTATTGTTTAAATGTTGATAATGAGTACTTTTACAATTTTCAGAAAAATCTTTGCATGTTAACTTATGTAAAATCTGAAAATGATAGACTTAGATGTGATATAAAAATACTTAAAACATCATGGTGTTCATGCTTTTACTTCAATAAAAGGTGAGCACTGCAACAGGGTCAGTTTGGCATGTGTCTTTAAAACGATCGAGTGGTCTTGGAGATGGACTATTGTTTGAAACTTCTGAGAAACTGACCTACCAGTGATATCTTTCAAACACATATGGAGCTGGTCCAAACAGGCAGCGAGTTGATTGATCCCGGCTGACGGGCAGCGCACTATTTACACGGCCCAGGGTGAGCTGGGAGGATCCTCATGTTAAAAATATGTGGCTTGTGTTTAATGCCAGTGGAGCCAGCGTAAACACTGCAGCGCGGGAGCACAGGGGTCAGGGCAGTTTACAGAGCACCTCTGATTTACTGGATTACTTGAGCACTGGATCAGAATCTGTCTGGTGATACTGCCAACCCCCTAACAAATGCACGCACATGTACCGCCATGCAAGTGTGTGAGATGCTGCTGTGGTTGTGGTTTTCCTTTTTATCCAGAGAATGGTGCCTGGAAATGCTCCCAATGCTGTTTATTTGTCTCAGTTATGTGGACACAAACTTGTTCACTGCTTCACATATTGTGTACAATTAAGTTTCACTGGATAGTTTGATTTTGCAGACATATTAAGGGAAGGCTGAAAAAAAAAATGTTCGATGAAATGTTCCAATAGATTTGATGTGCTTACATGCAGCCTATATCAAACGTTAGTGACCCATATGGTACTGATAAAACAGGAAGTCTAAGTGCTGTTTGGGACTTCTTGTCCTTGACGGGGAGATCCTTTCCTCTTAAGTCCTGCTCACATGTGCCAGCCAAACAATGACAAAGGTATTCCAAAACAGTTACAGCAAATACCAGAGAAATCACAGATGCAGTATGGTTCAAATTTGCAGACACTCAACATACTGTATTAATACAAACCAGTATAAACAATGCAGTTATTGGATATGCTTGTATGATTCATGCCTTGTACAGTTTGCACCAAGGAGGATGTTTATGGAAACAGATTAAGTAAATCAGCCTCATGTGGATGCTCTGAGGAGGTTCCCCCCTCACAAAAGGCAGATTCCACAGCTTTGCCAAACTGTAAATCAAGCCTATTTCTGTTGAGTCATCCATCGCTTTCAGTTGGCACAAGTTTTCAAGGCACCACATGGCCCTACCTAGTTGGTTACAAGATGATGAAATGAGACATAAGTCATGCAGCTGCTAAGGTCGTGACCTGGGAAACTAATCATTAAGCAGCATGAGAGTGAAACACTTCAGACAGAAACTAATTGCTTAGCCCAAGGCAGCAGAGCACGAATAATGGGAGTGTGAGCCTGTAACACATTCTCATCTAGTCTGCCAGCGCACAAGATGCTCGATACTGTGGTAACGACAAGCTGCCATATTACCGCATATGGTTACATTGTAGCGTGTTGACTGGTTTACACTGTCAACGAGGCAGGTGGGGAAAAAACTAGGAGAGCATTTCCTGCCATTAGTCTGAGGTTAGTTGACATTCAGCAAGAAGGGTTAATATACAAGTCCTTGTTAAAAGACATGCAGGAGCGCATGTCAGCAGCTCCCTCAAGCAAACACACAGTGACAATGACAGTGTCAGATTATGAGCGGGTGAGAGAAAGAGACTGACAGCAACACAGGTGGAGAGAAAAGAGATTGAGAGAGGGATATGTGGGGATAAACAGAGAAACGTAAATAGTTTTTTGTGTCTCTCATCATGTCAGTGTAGTGTAGTTCCTCCTGCTGTCATCTACTGGAAATGATTATTAAGAGGGCTGACTGTTAGGTCAACTTGCTCAATTTTATACTTACACACGCATTCCAGTTGTTGAGAATCTCTTCAGTGATGGTAAATAATGTACATCAATCAACATTTGAACAGGATGACTTCTAAGGAGCTTCTGAGGACTTCTGAGGCCCAAATCATTCTAACGTTCTGTGTGGGTTTAATATGAGAAGAGGTTCTCCGGTTAAGAGGGATGGTTTTTAGCAGAATTCAAATATGCATTAGATGTCTTTTCACTTCACAGAGCCAAACTCCAAATTACCTTCAATTCATGTCCTTTCCCGTCATAACTTTCTACAATCATAATCGAAGCTTGTCCTCTTCAGAAGGATATTCTGCTCGTCAGTTCAGACAAGCCGCCATGTGAAATGAATACAACAGCCAAGATTCTGCCATGAATCAAGTTTTTGTCACGCAAAATGATGTCATGCAGTAACTGTGAAAAGCACAATGAAGCTACTCTCTCTGAATGTTCTTGAGATGCTGTCAGTGATCTGGCTAATCTCGGAAAGACTTTAGAAGTCTAGTATATGGCATATACAGGTTGAACAGCCAATAACCAATAATGAACTCTGGAAAATGCAAGGTTTTTATATTAGCCAGAAAATCTGTTTACAAAAACTCATGGCAGTTACTCTAGTTACACCAGAAAATTATTTTTTTATTACTGGATGGGGACGAAATGAAAAGCAAATATTAGAAAGTTTTAATGAGAGTAGCAGAAATGTGAGGGATCAGGTTCTGTCCTGTCCTCTTCCTTCGTCTTCATGTTTTAAAGACATCTGCTGTGGGAACAAAGGCACCTGTTGTACATCATGTGGATACTTCAAAAAAGTAAACTGTGCTGCTCTGGCTCAGGAGGACACAGGAAGAGCGAGACAGGCAGTGTCAAAGTGAAAGACGCACAAAACCTGTTAAAGCACTTGTCTCCACAGAGCGATGACAAATGATGCAAGAGATTCAGAACTAAAGGACATTGTTCAAAAAAGCATTTACTGACCAAGTGCTACAATATGGAATAAAAAAAACATACGTGTATAGACATCAGCTTATGTTAGCTTGAAGGGTTCATTGGGTGCAGTCATAAAATGTTTCTGGCGTGTACAACATACAGGTTAGTGTTTTTTTTTTTTTAATTTCTCGAAAACAAGTAGTTCTCTAGAGACTGACCCATTTGTTCAAAAGCTGGCTGACACTGGCAGGAACTTACCTAATAAAAGTTTCCCTGCTCAGCAACAGCAGGCCAACAAGACCTCTGAATGCATTTGTAGTTTCAGGTTTTATAAGCAAGAATTTTAAACACTTTTACCTCTAATAAAATGCCACAGAACATGGTGCCAAGACGTGAGAGCAACGAGATCAAGAAGTTATAGGTATGCTTGGTGCCTTAAGGATTCAATTTATATTTAGGGTTAGACCCTTTGTCCATTTGTCATCATTCAATCAACTAACACTGGGTGGACTAAGTTCTAATTAGGCCTTAAAAGCCATTCAGTCTATTATTGTCTTTTATTGGTGCTTATGTTGTATCTCTAATGTTACTGACATTGATGATCCTCATACATCCCCTCTAAGCAAAATGCTGTGTGGGTACCTTATCCATTTGATGTAGTCTGTTGGGGTTTTTGTTGGACTGGAGTCTTCCCTGTGTGTCTGTATAAAACGAGTACTGTGATTTAAGTTTCAGTAGTCAGCAGAAGGTCCAGATAAGCTCAGGTTCAAGTACGGCTATTGCAAAAAGTTGTAGCTACGTTACCATGAGTTTAGTTTGTATAAGCTAGTTAGTAAGCAGGAGATTGACTTA